GCTGAGGCAGGAGAATCATATGAATCAATCCAGGGAGGTAGAGGTTGCAGCACCATTGCACTCCAGCCCGGGTAACAGTTTGAGACTCTGTCTGAAAAAAAAAAAAAAAAAAAAAAAAAAAAAAAAAAAAAAAAGGTAGAGTGAAAACTTGAATGCAGGTCTTCTGTTCCAATTCCATGGTTCTTTCCATTAGTACACACTAATCTAGTGATTATTACTATTAAAGATTTTAGGCCTAAATTACATTTTCTCCTGCAATTTTAATTCAATGGCCTATTTTTTTTTTTTGAGACGGAGTTTCGCTCTTGTTACCCAGGCTGGAGTGCAATGGCGTGATCTCAGCTCACCGCAACCTCCGCCTCCTGGGTTCAGGCAATTCTCCTGCCCCAGCCTCCCAAGTAGCTGGGATTACAGGCACGCGCCACCATGCCCAGCTCATTTTTTGTATTTTTAGTAGAGACGGGGTTTCACCATGTTGACCAAGATGGTCTCGATCTCTTGACCTAGTGATCCACCCACCTTGGCCTCCCAAAGTGCTGGGATTACAGGCTTGAGCCACCGCGCCCGGCTCAATGACCTATTTTGTCCCCTGGTGTGTGAAAAGCAATCATTACTTCCATCATTAAATAGCAAATTTTAAGGCACTGGACAAATATACACTTGAAGGCTAGTTGCATCAGCATTTTTTTTTTTTCCTTCTTCCAAGTTAGGGATACTGATTTAAATTGGTAAGTGAAGTTGGGTGGGAGGATACCTCTATAGCATTTACACTTCTATATTGTGATGACTGCTGAATTAGGGGACTTTCTAAAAAGAAATGTGACTGGAAGGAGTCCTTGGGACCAATCCTTACAATTTAGGAACCCTGATTCAGTCAAATGCCAAAACCTATTTGACTTGGCTCAGAGTTGGTATAATAATAGAGCTTTCCAATGTATAGGTGGATCAGGAAAGATGTACTTGTTGCTGCAGCTGTTTATACTGACCTCAAATTCAACAAGGATTCATTGAGCACTGATTATGGTCAGGGCCCCATTTCAACCTGCTCTGGAATACAGAGCATTGAGATCAGATTTTGAGGGCTTTTCGGCCTTCCTAAAAGCCCAACGGGGGTTCACATGAGAAGTAACACACACCTGGCACTTAAGCTCTTCTTTGTGTTACAATTAAGGATTCAAACTTCAAGAATAAATTGTTAACTTAGAGAAAGTTGAAATTCCTTAGAGCTTAGCATTCAAGGTCCTCCACATGTTCCTAATCTACCTTTTCAATCGTCATTCCCACTGTTGCCTGGAGTAAACCCTCTGCTCTAGTTAAATTGGATGCTCACTACCTCCTGAGCATGTTTTATCTTTTCACCTGGATACCTTACTCTTTAGATCTATGCTGTTCTTTATAGTAGCCACTAGTCACATATAGCTTTTGAGTACTTTAAGTGTGGCCAGTCTAAACTGAGATGTGCTGTTAGATACACCTAGATTTCAAAAATGTAGTTAAAAAAATCTAATAATCTTTAAATATTGATTACATATTAAAACATTAATATTCTGGACATAGATGAAATAAAGTACATTAAAACTTTCACTTCTTTTTACTTTGACTACTAGAAAATGTAAAATTTACCTATGTCTTGCATTATATATATATATATTTTTACTTTTTGAGACAGGGTCTTAGTCTGCCACCCAGGTTGGAGTGCAGTGGCACAATCACAGCTCACTGTGGCCTCCACTTCCCTTGGCACAGGTGATCCTCCCACCTCAGTCTCCCAAGTAGCTAGGACTACATATGCATACCACCATACCTGGCTAATTTTTTTTTATATTTTTTATAGAGATGGGGTTTCACCATGTGGCCCAGGCTGGTCTTGAACTTCTGAGCTCAAGTGATCCACCTGCCTTGTTCTCCCAAAGTGCTAGGATTATAAGCATGAGCCACCACACCCAGTCACATTGGATCTTTAGTGGATAGTACTCCACTAGCTTGTTAGCCAACGCAGTACTGGGCCCACCAGTCAAACCCATATTTGCACTTTCTTCCTGGAGTAATAGTGATGAATGAAGGGAAGGAAAATTCGGAGTAAGAGTGGGTTCACACATTTGAGGCAAGCAGGCTATCTCATCAAATGAAAGTTGCTATCACTTATCAGCTAGCAGCTCAAGGAGGAAGACTGCCAAAGGTAGTAGGACAGTTATTAATAATTTGTGGCACACAGCAACTGTTCAGTAAGTGTTAGATAACTTCTTTTAGGTGCTGACACTAAATACAAAGAAAATCTTGAATCCCACTTATCCCTCCTGTTTTTCTTCTTCCACTTCTTGTCACTAAAATTTAGCTATTCCTATGAAATTCTTTCACTTCTATTCCTTTTCTCCCAATCTACAGCTAATCAGTCTTGTCAGCTCTCTTTTGAATATAGTTTTCAAACAGCTCCTAGTTTCCTTCTACCCTCTCTGTGTTCATTCCATTCTATATACTGTTAATGTTCCATATTTCTTTGCAGATGTAATTCTTCACTCAAAACCTCCCGTTTATTTTCATATGAACTTCACAAAAAGCTTTCGCTCAGCATTCAAGGCTTTTCAAACCTTATCTCTTGGTATTTCTCTCCATAAAAAAGGAATTTAGGGAAACTAGATTTATGTATAGCACTTAGAACAATGCCTGGCCCACACTAAGAACTATATAGGTCTTAGCTATTATTACTGCTCACTTTTATTCAGATATGCTGTATGCATTTTTACTCCAGAAACTGTAAATTCCCTTTTCTTATTTGAATACCTCAATCTCTAAAGGAAGGAGTGATTTAAACTATCAATGACCAGCCAAGAGCCAATTGTTACTGTTGGAAAGGCAACTTAAATATTCTTTCTACAACAGATAGGACCTGCAAATAAGGACCCTAATTTACCAAAGATATTGAAATTTAAGACTGGATGAAATAAATAAAAAATGTTTCCTTCATTCAAGAAACAGCAATATTTATGGAATGTGTTAAATAAAAACCTGAAAAATATAAATGGGTTCTAGATTTAGGGCACTCTCCAACTTTGGCATATATTAGAATAATCTGGGAGCTTTAAAAAACACAGTTGCCTGGGCCCCATCTCTGATTTATTGAAGGGGAAGGCCTCAAGCACTTGAATTTATTTTAATGCCTCATAGGTGATTCTCCGTGTAACCACATCTGACCATCACTGATCTAGTCAAGAGAAACTTTGGTTTAGGGAGGCTGATCATGTTTGGCATATATTTTTCTCGATGTTTAAAAAAAACCCCAGTATACTAAGAGAACTGATTAACCTACGATGACTTATGTATTTATGAAGTGTTCTAAAAAACCAAACAAAAACCAAAGAAACAAGAAAACCAACCTTTTCAACTTGATTTAGGGTTCAGAAGATACATACACCTCATACCGCATTGAGCATTCATCTAAAAGTTTGCCGGTTGATCTGACTTCCATTAATTAAAAAAAATTCAAAACAGAATTACTTAATATAGATTTAACTACGTACAATATTTACAATTTACAGATTTTACAACAAAATTATACAGTTAAGCCTGTTGTGGAAAAGTTGGTATTTTATAACACTTCAGAAATTTCAAAAACTTTACCTCAAAAACATTGTGCACAAATTTACCAAAGTGCTGTAGCTCATTTTATCTCAACAATACAGTTAGCAGTCCAGGTGCCCAAATCTCTAGGCATGTAACCCATAAACTATTGAGACAGCACTTTTTATACAATAGCAGAGGCTGTTAGAAACCTTAGGTCTTTCAAACCTTATAACAATGCCCCTTTCACCCTCCAATCCTGAGACAACAAGTCCTGTAGTTCCCCCTCATCATCGCTGTCAGCATTCTCTTCTTCCTTTTTCTGCAATTCTTTTATGGTCAGGATTTCTTTAAGTTTATTTTTTATTTCATCCTGGCGATTCCGTAGCTTTTCCACCCGTCGGTAACACTCTATCTGCTCATCGATCTCCCCAATCTGACGGTCCAACCGTCCCTCCTCATCCTCTTCGGCAACTATGGCTTCGGAAATAGTGTTGACCTGCCTCATGGCTTTTTGAAATTCGTCCCACTCTTTGTCCATCTGATCTTTAGGGGCATCAACCTTTCGTACTCTTGCATCTACCTCAGGGTCGTCAAAAAAACCTTCGGGTAACGCTTCCGCGGTGTTTTCTCTCCTTTCCACCACCTTTTCATGGATTTCTGCTTTCTCAATTGACCCTGAATGAGGAATTATGGGGGCCTTGGGAGGATTATTATGAAAGAAATCGTCTGGCAGCACACTGCTCGTTACCTCCCGCGAAGAGGAAAGTGAATGTTCCTTGCCCTGTGCGTCGGACAGCAACTTGCCGGCGTCCCCGCTTTTTCTTTCTCCACCTCCTTCTTCCTGTTCCTCCTCCTCCTCCTCATCTTCATAATCGGGGAGTAAACTGAGTCCTGAGGGCTTACTGGGAGTCGCTCTAATGGACTCCTTTCCCATTTTGTCAAAGTTGGTGGGCAACGCAGATGTGGAGGGCTGTACCTGAGGCACCAAGGTGGCCTTCAGTTCTCTTGGTATCTTGGCCGTCTGCGTCTGGCGCTTTCCTCTTGACGGACTGAGGCGCTGAGCTGGCGGACGGACCCTGGCTGGCTTCCTTCGCGCCTTTCAGCTCGGCCACTTTCTCTCGGTGCTGCTTTCCCAGGACGTGAGTCTGCCACAGAAGCTCACTCTTAACCGGAGTGTTACACAGGACACAACTCAGCTGTCCCAAACGGTTGTACTTAGCGAATGGAGATTCTATCCGTTTCCGATTAGTGCTCAGACGCTGCTTCTCCTTCATTAACCGCCGCAGTTCTTCCTGATTTACTACTCGCTTCCCAGCCGGAGTCCCAGCGGAGGCGGAGAACGCCATCTTGGCGACCAGACCCAAAGCGCGTCCGGCTTCCGTCCGGCGAGGCATGATAACGTCACTTCTTGTGACGGGCGGTGATTGGCCGAGGCTCAAGCGAGCGTGGCGTGGCGTTCGGATTTTTGCTTAGAGTCGCCACTAAGGCTTGTGTGTCTATGTGTGTGTGTGTTTGTGCGTTGTTGTTGTTTTTGTTTTTTTCGCCCTGAACGATTAGGCTATGGCTGCGATAAAGGCCGTAAACTCCAAGGCTGAGGTGGCGCGGGCCCAGGCAGCTTTGGCCGTCAATATATGCGCCGCCCGAGGGCTGCAGGATGTGCTGAGGACCAACTTGGGTCCTAAAGGCACCATGAAAATGTGAGACGGCGGTTGGAGCGGCCGTTAGGCGGCTGGGGGCTTGTTGGGTGTCCTGGCCCGCCCTGAGGCAGGCGTCCACGGAGCGATATGGATGTTCTTGCGAGCTTGATTTCCCTCATTCTCATCCCTGACCTGAGGGTATCTCTCGCCTGGTGCGGGTGGAGGAGAAAAGCCTCCCTTAATAGAGGGTCCAAGGGGTGAAGCTGTGACCCCCCTCCCGACCCCCCACTTTTCGTCAAGGTTCATATGCAGTTAGAAAGTCAGTTAATTTAGTGTCTCATTGAAAACATAAAGCATTTAACTCCTCTGCGCTTTAAAACTGCATACCTTTAGTTCATAAATTCAACAGGTAGTTATTTTTGTTTTTTCGTATGGTAAATGTATTGTAGTGGAGGGGGCACAGGGATTGGAGCCAGGAAGGCGGCATGGGGTCAAATCCAAGTTCCCGTGCCTATGGTTCTTCATATCTGTTTCTCTCTTCAGTATATATTAAGCACCATTTTCTCTAGACAAGAGTGAGGAAAAGAGACCAGTGAGGGCAAAAGGGTATAAGAGGAGAGACACATCGTCATAGTAATGAACAAAATAAATTAATGGTAGAAGAAGTCACTTAGGTACTAGCTGCTGGGACACAGAAATGATCAAGATAAAGTTTCTGTTCTAAAAAAGGTGTGGTAGAGATAGATGTGGTAGAGTCGGATGTGCTAATTATATATAGATGCATGTAATTATGCTGAGGAAAGGGACTAATTACTGATGGCAGAAGGAAAAGCGTCTTAACTAACAATGTTTTATCAGAGGCTTGAAAGAAGAGTAAGAGTTCACTAGTTGGAAGAGGGAGTAAAGGCCTGGGCAGAGGGTAATTTCAGAAATAAGAAAGACCAAGGATGCAAATCCAACAGAAACAAAACAGAACATGGTGTATTAAGGGGACTGGAAGATTTGCTTGTGGGAAAGTAGATGAGGCAGGGAGGACAGACATAAACCAGATTGGGAAAAGTCAAGTATGCCATTGCTATGTTTGGATTTTAACTTGAAAATGATGGAAAACATAAAGATCATTGGAGGACTTTTGATCAGGGAACTGACTGAATCACATTGCCTTGTAGAAAGAAAAATGTGTGGAGGATATAGGAGGGTATATTTAAGTTTGGAGATATCTGGATGTCATCCAAGGTAGAGATGACAATGACAGTGGAGATGGAGAGAAGGGGGCAGAGTTAAGAGATATTTAAGTAGTAGAATTGAAAGAACTTGGTGATCTAATAAATGCAGGGATGAGGGAAACCACGTTGAGTGACTGAAAGAATGAAAACATTCACTGAAATAAGCCTGCAGAAAATTTGCAAATTTGTGCTTTGTAGACTTATGAGTATTCTTTGACCAAACCACTGTTCATAACTCATCAACTGCTTTTATCTTTAAACCTGTAAATGCTCCATTTTCTATGAAATCGCCTTAAGCTGTCCATTTGGGGAGAAATCATTCCGTGAGCTGCAAATGGTGGTAATTACCATGGCATATTCCCGTGGTACAGTAGAAGTTTTCCAAGTCCTATTCCCTCTGTTAAGGATAATGAAGTGGCAAGCACTGGGAGTGTCTTGCTTGACTCTACCAAGTGAAGTTAACATCATTGCTCTCCGAACAGGCTTGTTTCTGGTGCAGGTGACATCAAACTCACCAAAGATGGCAACGTGCTGCTCCATGAGATGGTGAGTTGATGCTGCTGACTTTAATAAAATGTAATAAGCCTTAATTAGGAGCATAGTAGAATTTGTATATCTTTAAAACCAAGACTGTCAGCTAAATACTGCAGTCTTGAGATATGCTTGTTGAATTAGACCTCAATAAAAAATGATTTTTTGGCTGGGTGTGGTGGCTCACTCCTGTAATCCCAACACCTTGGGAAGCTGAGATGGGTGAATCGCTTGAGCCCAGGAGTTCAAGACCAGCCTGGGCAACATGGTGAAACCCATCTCTCCAAAAAAAAAAAAAAATTAGCCCGGTGTGTTGGCATGTGTCTGTAGTCCCAGCTACCTGGGAGGCTGAGGTGAGAGGATCATCTGAGCCAAGGAGGCCAAGGCTGCAATGAACAGAGATTGTGCCACTGCACTCCAGCCTGGGTGACAGAGCAAGATGCTGTCTCAAAAAAAAAAAAAAAAAGTTTATTCTTTTTTTTTGTTTGTTTTTTTGCTGTTTCCATGTCTTTGTATAGTGCATGTAATAGCTTGAGTATACTTATAAATTAATAACATCTTTTAAAGGCACTGCCTTATGTTCTTTGTAATCACAGAAAAATAAAAATATCATTTGCAAGTTTAATAAATGTATTCATTTTGAGATTGAAGGATTTAATCTTATTTTAGAAATGTCATTGCATTCTGAAGCAAAGATTTATGAAATGTTCAGACTTCATTACCTCACACTTTTAAAATTTTGGATTTGACATTTAGGTATTGATAATAGAAAACTTGTAAACTTGAAGAATGAAGCTTATTTCATTTTTAAATTTTACTGCTGACCCCTAGGTTATCTTGTTTTTCGTGGCCTACTTCCTTATCTCATCCTCTCTTTTTAAATCTGTTGCTTGCTTTTTCCAGCAAATTCAACATCCAACAGCTTCCTTGATAGCAAAAGTAGCAACAGCTCAGGATGATGTCACAGGAGATGGTACTACTTCAAATGTTCTAATTATTGGAGAGTTATTAAAACAAGCTGATCTGTACATTTCTGAGGTATTAGAATTTCACACAATTCATATATTTTTTTGAATGGCAAGTTGTTTTTTTAACTAGTAAAATGGTTGAGTTTTAGACAGTTAATTTTGTTTTTATATATTTATTTAGAGATGGAGTCTAGCTCTGTCACCCAGGCTAGAGTGAAGTGGCAGGTTCTCAGCTCATTGCAACCTCCGCCTTACAGGTCCAAGCGATTCTCCTGCTTCAGCCTCCCGAATAGCTGGGATTACATCATGTGCCACCATGCCCAGCTAATTTTTATATTTTTATTAGAGATGGGGTTTTACCGTGGTGGCCAGGCTGGTCTCGAGCTCCTGACCTCAGGTGATCCACCTGCCTTGGTCGTCCAGAGTGCTGGGATTACAGCTGTGAGCCACTGTGCCTGGCCTAAACAGTTAATTATAATTAATATATTCTTGGCCAATGATAAATGGAAATAATAATGAACTTTTTTGGCCAAAATAATGCCTTTTATTGGAATTATATACCTCTTTTAAAAATGAAATTTAAAATACATAAAAAAGTAAAAAATCACCCATATATTCATGGGTAATTTAAAAAATGCCATAGATAAAGTTGACACCAAATTATTTACCTTTATAAAACAACTGGAGAAAAATTATTGAAAGTTTTCCTTTTTGTGAATTTACCTCCTTTTCTAGTTTCATTTTTCTTTATTAAATCACCTACTTCAGCCAGATGCCTCCATTCACCTCTGAAAACATCATGTACATTTCTACTTCTGTACCTTTATTCAATCTGTATTCTTACCTTGGCGTTATTTTATCACTTTTCTCTAATTAAATATCTGAAGTTTTTCTCTCTTTCAGGGATCATTTCAGCAAAGTATAACCTGGTCAAAATGATTCTTTGTGTTTGTTTAGTAGTAGGAATTTTCTATTAATTCGGTACTTGCAACTTAAGATGCTTTTGGCTGTAAGCAACTTGACTAAAACTCAAACAATAAGGAAACGATTATCTCCCATAATAGATAATTGAGAGAGAAGACAGATTGTCAGGTTGTGTGATAGCAAAATTCAGTCATCGAATACACAGGTCCTTTGTCTCTTAACTCTTCCACTCACAGCACTGTTTCATCCTTAGATTATTTCTGTCTTGAAAGTAAGACTGGCTGGGCACAGTGGCTCATGCTTGTAATCCCAGCACTTTGAGAGGCTGAGGCAGGAGGATCACTTGAGCCTAGGAATTTGAGACCAGCCTGGGAAGCATAATAAGACCCTGTTTTTAGAAATAATTAAAAAAAAATTAGGCTTGGTCGTATGCTGTGTGTGGTGCTAGCTACTAAGGAGGCTGAGGCAGGAGGATCACCTGAACCCAGGAGGTGGAGGCTGCAGTAAGCCATGATTGCACCACTGTACTTCAGCCTGGGTGACTGGGTGACAGAGTGAGACCCAGTCTCAGAGAGACAGAGAGAGAGAGAGAGAGAGAGAGGGAGGGAGGGAAGGAGGGGAGGGGAGGGGAGGGATGGGGGGAGGAGAAAGGATGGGAGGGGATGGGAGGGGTGGAAGACTGTCAGAGGAAATTTGGCAGAGTGCAAGAGAAAGCCATTCATAAGTCCTTTCTTTAGTAGGATTGGGCCAACTTTAGTATTATGTCCATCCCAAGCCAATAACAATTTTTAGGGGAATTGACTTAGACTAATGAAGATCCACTTCTTGAGCTGGTGATAAGATCAGCTTTCTCTAAAGCACAGGTGGGAGAGGGATACCCAAATTCAATTAGAGTGGGGTTAGGAAGAAAGGAGTCTGGCAAGGATGAGTTGCTAACAGACATTTTGAAACCCTGTGGCCATACAGTGATAGGGCTGGGCACAGTATATGATAGAATCACTGAGGCTGGAGGGACATCCTACACCTGCCTGAAGTAGTCAGGAAGAACTCTCTGGAGGAAGTAAGGCCTGGGCTAAATCTTCAGGATGAGGAGGAATGAACCAGACAAAAGAGTAAAGGGTGAGGAGAATGGGTTTCCAGGCAGAAGGAACAAAATAAGCAAAGCCACAGAGAAGACAAGCAACATGGTGTTGTATGAAGCTACAAGCATTTTGGTGTTGCTGGAATTTCAAGTGATGTGAACAGTAGTGGAGAAGAGGCTGGAGAGGGAAGTGGGAGCCAGATCACAGAGGGCATGTAGTTTGCTAACCAAGAAGCTTGCACTTCATCCTGTGGTATTACAGACCAAACATAGCAACATACTAATGACTAATATGGTCAGACTGGCATTTTTCTTTTTTCTTTTTTTTTGAGATGGAGTCTCACTATCCATCTCACAGGCTGGAGTGCAGTGGCACAATCTCGGCTCACTGCAACTTCCGCCTCCTGGGTTCAAGCAATTCTCCTGCCTCAGCCTCCTGAGTAGCTGGGATTACAGGTGTGCCACCATGTCTGGCTAATTTATTTTTATTTTTATTATTTTTTTTAGTAGAGACAGGGTTTCACCGTGCTGGCCAGGCTGGTCTCGAACTCCTGACCTCGTGGTCCACCTGCCTCCGCCTCCCAAAGTGCTGAGATTATAGGTGTGAGCCACCACACCTGGCCCAGATTGGCATTTTTAATATTTGGGGGATGGTTTTAAGGGAGTTCAGATGAGAGGTTTTCGTAATAGTCCAGCTGGCAGATTGTGAGGTCCTAGCTTGAAGACATTTTTGAAAATGGTTAATAACACAGGCTCTAGAGTCAGGTCTCATGGGTTTAAACCCTCCTTCTTACCTTGGTGATCTAAAGCAAATTACATTATCCCTTTAACCCTTGGTCTCCTCATCTGTGAAATAGGAAAGATAATATCCACTTCATAGTGTGGTGAGTGGATTAAATAACTCATGTAAAACTCTTAGAGTCATGTCCAGCACAAATATTCAGTGCCAACTTTTAAAGATTATTGTAGTAAAGAAAAGAAGTAAGGGAATGAATTAAACCAAGTGCTAACTTTCACAAAGTTTTTGTATTATTTTATGGAACAAAAAATACTATTATCAAATTTTGTCTTAATTTTAGACCTATAGAAAAGTTGCAAGCATACTACAAAGAATTCCTGTTTACTTTTTACCCAGATTCTTCAAGTATTTTTCTCTCATTTCCTGCCTGCCCTATTCTCTTCCTTAATATCAGTGTACATATTCTTTTCTAAACTGTATGTTGCAGACGTGATCTAAATATTTCAGTGTGTATTTCTTAAAACCAGGGAATTAAATAATTGCAGTATAGTTATAAAAACCAGGAAATTAATAATAACATCAACACATTGATACATGATTATTATCTGATTTGCATTCTATTCAAATTTCACCACTTGTACTAATAGTGTTCTTTATAGGAAAAAAAAAGTTCTAAGTTCATGCATTGCATTCAGTTGTCATGTTCCTTTAGTATCTTTTAAGCTAGACTAGTTCCTGAGCTACCTTTTATGCTTCATGATATTGCTACTTTTAAGGAGTACCAGCCAGTTATTTTGTAGAAAGTCCCTCAATTTGGATGTGCCTGTTTTCTCAAGTAAACTCAGGTTACAGATTGTGGGCAGGAATACCACAGAAGTGTTGTGTTCTACTGAATGCATCGTATCAGGAGGCATGTGATGCCTATCCGTCTCATTATCGTGGTGTTAACTTTGATCACTTGGTGAAGTGGTAGACACCACAGTGTTCTGTCTGCCACTTTTTCCCAGTTCAACGATGGTTCTTTTCCTCTGCATTGAAAAGTATCCTTTTTTGTGTGCCCATTCAGAAGGGCCCCACATAACAACAATGCAGTTAGAATTTCTGGAGATGAAAAGGACTTTTGTAATTTTTTTGTACTAGACTTGCAGCTTTACTGTACATTTGAGATCATTTCAAGTATGAAGCATTAAAATGACTTATAAATTACATACACATATTTCATGGCATTAATGGGAGCAAATTTTTTGGACATAATGTATTAATCAGACAGGATGGTTACTTTTACATTGGATGACTTATTTTATAATTTATAATTTTATGTTGATGTAACAGGGCCTGCATCCTAGAATAATAGCTGAAGGATTTGAAACTGCAAAGGTAAAAGCACTTGAAGTTTTGGAGGAAGTTAAAGTGACAAAGGAGATGAAAAGAAAAATCCTCTTAGATGTAGCTAGAACATCATTACAAACTAAAGTTCATGCTGAACTGGCTGATGTGTTGACAGAGGTATGTTATTAAACTTTTGCATTCAGAACAAGTATAGCCTAACGCATGGTGATATTTTTCTTTTTTCTGTAAGATAATCAAGTATTGCATGTAGTTTTTTAGACATAAAATATGGAAGACAGACAGTTATTGTATAGGCTTACCTATAGACTAGATTTGAGTGGTCAGAACAGTATTTGTAATTTTCAGCAGTATCATACTAGGCCTTTTTAAAAACGTGACTTGAAAGTTGGGAAAGGTTTGGCTGGTCTTTTTAAACCTAGAGGTCCGTATTTTACTATGTGAGGTAACACATGAGATGTTTTAGCAGTGTACCTTGTAGATAAAGTTACGAATATAATGAAATGGGAGTGATAGGATATATTAATATATTAATATTCACATCTTGGAAATGTATGTTTGTTTTGTTTATTTCTTTTATTTCTTTATTTATTTTTGAGACAGAGTTTCACTCTGTCACCCAGGCTGGAGTGCAGTGGTGCAATCTTGGCTCACTGCAACCTCTGTCTCCCAGGTTCAAGCAATTCTTCTACTTCAGCCTTCGAGTAGCTGGGATTACAGGCACACACCACCACACCCGGCTAATTTCTGTATTTTTAATAGAGATGGAGTGTCAACATGTTAGCCAAGCTTGTCTCGAACTCCTGACCTCAAATGATCTAACTGCCTTGGCCTCCCAAAGTGCTGGGATTACAGGCATGAGCTACCACATCCTGCCAGTGTTTTGTTTATTTCTAAAGGTAGAATATATGTTATATAGGCTGGGCACGGTGGCTCACACTTGTAATCCCAGCTCTTTGGGAGGCCAAGGTGGGCAGATCACCTGAGGTCAGGAGTTTGAGACCAGCCTGGCCAACATGATGAAATCCTGTCTCTTCTAAAAATACAAGAATTAGCTGGGCATGGTGGCGGGCACCTGTAATCCCAGCTACTTAGAAGGCTAAGGCAGGAGAATCACTTCAGGAATGGGAAGTTGTAGTGAGCTGAGGTCATGCCACTGCACTCCAGCCTGGTGACAGAGTGAAACTTTGTCTCAAGAAAAAAATGTATTTTATATAAAGATAAGATTGGCTGGATATTTTGGAAGGCTTTTGACAGGTGACAATGATTTGGTATCATTATTGTTTCTCAGCTTTGTAGTTTCTGAAACTTGAATATATTTGTTTCCCAGGAATGATAAATTCAGAAGAAACAAATTCACAAGACATTGACGTGCAAGGCAGAATACTGTCTTTTAACAATTTACTTTGAGAACTACACGTGCCAAATGTACTGGAATACCTGAGTTGTTTCTGGTCGATTCTCCTTACCATTAAGAAAACCAACTTGGGAAATCAGATTAAGATTGGGCAATTTCTTGATGAGCAGAGTCAGGAGAAAGGCTCTGCTGTGTTTTCTGCTGTTAGGGTACTCAAATGGCCCAGAATCTTCGTGCTACTAGGGCACCCATTCTGTTTTGGAGTAGCAGAAACACTGATATTCTCACATCCAATGGCCTTTTTAAATTCATTATTTGTCTTTAAAATCAAATATATGTCACCTCAGGTAAATCTTTCTAAGATAGCGTTTTTCTTCTTTATGTATGTTTTAGGGTACTTATAACTTAGCTCTTAATTTCTGTAGTAATTTATCATTTTTATATCATTTTCTGAGCTAAGCAATAAGATGTGATGTGCTATGCTTCTTAAATTATATATCCCTGGTCATATGTGACAGCATAAATGAGACATGTCTTTCTGGAGTGTCAATTTTACTTTACAATTTTTGGGGAAAACATTATTTTCATGTTGAGCTAAACGTATTACGGGGTGACATGAAAGCTTTTCATGATGCAACATGAGACTTTAAAATTTTCTGTTATTATGGCCAGCATACTGGAACTATTACTACTTAGGTTACATTTCCTTCTTTTCCATTAAGGTGTCCTTTGGTGGAAAAGTTTGGATAATCTTTGTTATGATAGAAAGAGTTAACTTGGCAGTTAAGGAGCCCTGAATTCTAGTCCTGGCCCTGTTACTAGCTATTAGATCATATTTTAAAACCGTAACTTCTTAAGGTCTTATCTCAGTTGCCTTATCTGTGAAATAAAAGATTTCGACCTGATGATCTCCGAAGTTTCTCTAGACTCTAAAGTGTCTGTTGGTATTGGTTATTATTCATGTCCACAATAAAGTGGCACATATTGGTCTTGCCCTGTGTTTTGAATTCTGAAGGCTTTTATGTCCTTAGTCTGGTGATGGATTGTTTGGGCCATTGGTTTATTTTAGTAGTCCAAATAACTTACTGTTCTCATTCACTTCTCTTTCAGGCTGTGGTGGATTCTGTTTTGGCTGTTAGAAGACCAGGTTACCCTATTGATCTCTTCATGGTAGAAATCGTGGAGATGAAGCATAAATTAGAAACAGATACGAAGTAAATTACATAAACCTTGACAATATATAGGTTCTAGAATATTTGTTTTTTATTCTTTTATTAAATTCATTACTTTTATTCAATGTAAATATATTCGTTCAACATGTGTTAAGTCACTGTTCTAGGTGATGGGAATTAAGAGTAAATGGAACAGAATTTCTTTCCCCCAGAAGCTTATGTTTCTAATTGAAATGGAAAAAAAAATCACATGTGTGATTTTATAGTGGACAGGGAAGGCCACTCTGATAAGAACCTAGAAAGTTAAGAGATGCCTGAAGAAACAAGGGAGCTAGCCACATGTGCACATCTGGAACAGGAGGGTTCTAAGCAGAAGGAATGACCCCTGAAAAGGTCCTGAGGCAGAAGTTTGACTGGGTATTACAGTGTGCCTGGAGCACAGACGAGGAGATGAGGGAAGAGGGGCCAGATTATGGAGTACTTTGTTGGTTTTGGATTTACTCTTTTAAAACTTTCTATTATACAAAATTGTAAACATATATAGAGAGAACAGAATAGGGAACTTCCACATACCTGTTAGCTATCTTTATCAATTTCCAATATATAAACCAATCTTTTTTCAACCGTACCCCTCCTTCTTTCCCCCTCCCATCTTGGATTATTTTGAAGCACATCCAGACATCATATACCACCTGTAAATATATAATCCATTAAACACCAATCCCCTGCTTTTACCTAATATATCCACAAAACATTATCACACCTTAAAAATTGATAACCCATTAATACCATCATATTTTCAGTTTATAGTCTAATTGTTGTCTCAGATTTTTTTCAATTTTGTTTGGATTAACATCTACACACAGTCTGTATACTGCACTTAAATGATAACTCTTTTAAGTCTGTGTTAATTTGTGGGTTCTTTCTTCCTCTCATTGTTTTTCACCTTGATAATTATTTTGGAGAAGTCTGATGATTTGTCTTGAAGAGTTTTTATGGGAAGATTTTTGATTATTCATGCAATTTTCATAATGGCTGTAGGACTAGTTAGGTTTTTACTTATTTTGTGAATCATTTTGGTAAGTAATGTTTATCCATTTTGTTTAACTCTGAAATTTTTGGCATAAAATGTTGATAAATATCCTTTTTGGCATACATTTTTATGAGGATCCTATTTGCAGGATCTACAGTGGTATCACTATTTTTTTTTCTGGTGTTGTTTATGCCCTCCTTTCCTTTTTTGATAATTTGTTCCCAGAGGTTTGTTTGTTTTGTTTTATAGTGTCTTTCTCTTTATTATTTAATTTACTTCTTTTGAAATTTTGTGGAGACTTTTTTGCTGCTTCTGTTGTATTACAGTAGCTATTTAGGTTATTAATTTTCAGTCTCCTGCTTTTGTAATACAGTACTTAAGATCTTAAATTTTTCTCAGAGTACTAGTTAGCTGCATCCTTCAAGTTTTGCTACACAATTTCATAATTTTTATTCAGTTTAAAATATTTTCTAATTTCTACTAGAAGTGTGTTTCTTCAAAATACGTAGGAAAATTTTAATTATCTTATCACTGATACCTAGCTTAATTACATTATGGTCAGAGAATATGTTCTATGAGATTTTGCTCCTTTAAAATGTATTGATACTTGCTTTCTGGCTCAGTGTATAGTCAATTTTTGTTATGCTAATATTTTGTGTACTTGAAAAAAATGTATTTTAACTACTGCAGTTAGTAGTTACAATTTTATATATTTGTCCATTAAGATCAGGGTATCCTGTTAATCCTGTTGTTTAGAACTTTTATATCCTTACTGATATTTTGACTGCTTATTCTGTCAATTACTGAGAGGAGAAATGTATTAATATCTTTCAATATTATTGTGTACCTATTTATATTTTACTTTAGTTTTGAGAGTTTTGCTTTATACATCTTGAAACAATCTTATTAGATGCATATGATTTTTTTTTAAATTGTATTTGGGCGCTGGGGTACATGTGCACATCCTGCATCCTGCAGGATTGCTGTATAGGTACATACATGCCATGGTGGTTTGCTGTCTCCATCTCCCACTTGCCCCTCCCCCACCCCAGTCTCCTATATCAGGCATTTCTCCTTGTGTTATCCCTCCCCATCCTTCCTGCCCCCTGCTGTCTCCCCTCCATCCCGTCACCTACCCCTGTGAATGTTTTTCCCTTCCCCGTGTCCAAGTGTTCTCATTGTTTATCATCCACCTATGAGTGAAAACTTGCAGTGTTTGGTTTTCTTTTCTTGTGTCAGTTTGCTGAGAATGATGGTTTCTAGGTTCATCCATGTCTCTACTAAGGACATGAACTCATCTTTTTTTATGGCTGCATAGTATTTCATGGTATATATGTGCCACATTTTTTTGTCCAGTCTGTCATCAGTGGACATTCGGATTGGTTCCAGGTCTTTGCTATTGTAAACAGCACTGCAGTGAACATACATGTGCATGTGTCTTTATGATAGAACAATTTATAATCCTTTGGGTGTATACCCAGTAATGGGATTACTGGGTCAAATGGAATTTCTATTTCTAGATCCTTGAGGAATTGCCACACTGTCTTCCACAATGGTTGAACTAATTTACACTCCCACTGACTGTGTAAAAGTGTTCCTTTTTCTTGACATCCTCTCCAGCATCTGTTGTCTCCAGATTTTTTAATGATTGCCATTCTAACTAGTGTGAGATAATATCTCAATGTGGTTTTGATTTGCATTTCTCTAGTGACCAGTGATGATGAACATTTTTTCATATGTTTGTTGGCCGCATATTTTCTTCTTTTGAAAAGTGGCTGTTCATATTCTTTGCTCACTTTTGAATGGGTTTGTTTGTTTTTTTTTTTCTTGTAAATTTGCTTTAGTTCTTTGTAGATTCTGGATATTAGCCCTTTGTCTGATGGGTAGATTGTGAACATTTTTTCCCATTCTGTTGGTTGCCGGTTTACGCTAATGATTGTTTCTTTTGCTGTGCAGAAGCTCTTAAGTTTAATTAGGTCCCGTTTGTCTATTTTGGCTTTTGTTGCCATTGCTTTTGGTGTTTTAGTCATGAAGTCCTTGCCTGTGCCTATGTCCTGAATGGTTTTGCCTAGGTTTTCTTCTGGGGTTTAATGGTGTTAGTTCTTATATTTAAATCTTTAATCCATCTGGAGTTAATTTTTGTATAAGGTGTAAGGAAGGGATCCAGCTTCAGCTTCCTGCCTATGGCTAGCCAGTTTTCCCAACACCATTTACTAAACAGGGAATTCTTTCCCCATTGCTTATTTTTGTCCAGTTTGTCAAAGATCAGATGGTTGTAGATGTGTGACATTGCTTCTGAGGCCTCTGTTCTGTTCCATTGGTCTATATCTCTGTTTTGGTACCAGTACCATGCTGTTTTGATTACTGTAGCCTTGTAGTATAGTTTGAAGTCAGGTAGCGTGATGCCTCCAGTTTTGCTCTTTTTGCTTAGGATTGTCTTGGCTATGCCAGCTCTCTATTGGTTCCATATGAAGTTTAAAGTGGTTTTTTCCAGTTCTGTGAAGAAGGTCAATGGTAGCTTGATGGGGATAGCCTTGAATTTATAAATTACTTTGGGCAGTATGGCCATTTGCACAATATTGATTCTTCCTAACCATGAGCATGGAATGTTTTTCCATCTGTTTGTGTCCTCTCTCATTTCCTTGAGCAGTAGTTTGTAGTTCTCCTTGAAGAAATCTTTTACCTCCTTTGTTTGTTGTATTCCTAGGTATTTTATTCTCTTTGTAGCAATTGTAAATGGGACTTCACTCATGATTTGGCTCTCTGTTTGTCTGTTGTTGGTGTGTATGAATGCTCGTGATTTCTGCACATTGGTTTTGTATCCTGAGACTTTGCCGAAGTTGCTTATCAGCTTGAGGTTTTGGGCTGAGATGATGGGGTCTTCTAAATATATGATCATGTCATCTGCAAATAGGGACAGTTTGCCTTCTTCTTTTCCTAATTGAATGCCCTTTATTTCTTTTTCTTGCCTAATTGCTCTGGCTAGAGAACTTTCAATACTATATTGAATTAGGAGTAGTGAGAGAGGGCATCCTTGTCTGGTGACAGTTTTTAAAGGGAATGCTTTTAATTTTTGCCCATTCCATATGATAATGGCTGTGGATTTGTCATAAATAGCTTTTATTGTTTGAGATATGTTCTGTTGATACCTAGCTTATTGAGAGTTTGTAGCATAAAGGGCTACTGAATTTTGTTGAAGGCCTTCTCTGCATCTGTTGAGATAATCATGTGGTTTTTGTCTTTGGTTCTGTTTATATGATGAATTACATTGATAGATTTGTGTATGTTGAACCAGCTTTGCATTCCCAGGATGAAGCCTACACGATAATGGTGGATAAGCTTTTTAATGTGCTGTTGGATTCGATTTGCCAGTATTTTATTGAAGATTTTTGCATCAGTGTTCATGATGGATATTGCCCTTTAGTTTTCTTTTTTAGTTGTGTCTCTGCCAGATTTTGGTATCAGGATAATGTTGGCTTCATAGAAAGAGTTAGGGAGGATTCTCTCTTTTTGTATTGTTTGGAATAGTTTCAACAGGAATGGTACCAGCTCCTCTTTGTATGTCTGGTAGAATTCAGCTGTGAATCTTGGACCTGGCTTTTTTGTGGTCAGTAGGCTATTAATTGCTGCCTTGACTTCAGACCTTGTTATTGGTCTTTTCAGGGTTTCAGCTTCTTCTCGGCTTAGTCTTGGGAGTGTGCAAGTGTCCAGGAATTTATCCATTTCTTCCAGATTTTCTGGTTTATGTGCATAGAGTTGTTTATCGTAATCTCTGATGGTAGTTTGTATTTCCGAGGAATTGGTGGTGATCTCCCCTATACTGTTTTTTATTGCATCTATTTGATTCTTTTCTCTTTTCTTTTTTATTAGTTTAGCTAGCGGTCTGCCTATTTTGTTGATCTTTTCAAAAAACCAGCTCCTGGATTTTTTTTTTTTTTTGAAGTTTTTTTGTGTCTCTGTCTCCTTCAGTTCTGCTCTGGTCTTAGTTATTTCTTGTCTTCTGCTTGCT